TCCTAGGCCCGAAACGTCAGCCTTCCTGCTCCTCTGATGCTGCTTGGCCTGCTGTGTTCATCCAGCTCTACACCTTGTTATCTCATAATTTCCCGTCAGCTTTGAGCTGTTGATGTGGTGGTTAACTGACCTCAGCATTGTCAAATTAGGTCAGAGGACCATTAACCAGAGCTTCTGTTTGAGATAATTCTTTGCTGACCTGTGCTAGAAAAAGTCTTTGTATTGTAGTATCAAGCAAAGATAAGACTAGGTTTGACTATGATGTTCCTAGCGTCAGATCATGGATTGATGCAGTACAGAAAAGGCTATTCTTCTAATCTGTCTGTACTGGTTCCTTGTTAGTTATCCAACTAATTCCATTCTATAGCCTCATAGCTCTGTAATTTTTTTACCATATCCAAGTATTCATGCAATGCTCTTTTGAATACTACAATTGTATTTTCTTGCACCAGCTTTTCAGGTGATGTGTTCCAGATCACAACAAGTTGCTGTGCTGAAAATAAATAAATTTACCTCATGTTGCCCCGGCTCAAAATTTTGCCAAAGAATCCATTAGCTTGTTCTACTGACTTTGTACTCAATGAGAGACTAATGAGTTGGGTTGCTGGGATGCTCCAACTCCCAGTATGAATTAGTGTATTTGACAGATGAAAGAGGCAAAGGAGTGAATATTGAAAAATAAAAGAACATTCAGTAGTCTGTGACTCAAAATCACCAAAGTCAGGGGAGGTGATGGCCTAGTGGTATTATCGCTGGACTGTTAATCCAGAGACCTAGATAATGTTCTGGGGACCTGGGTTCAAATCCTACTATGGCAGGTGATGGAATTTGAATTGAATAAATATCTGGAATTAACAATCTAATTATGACCATTGTCTGATTGTCAGAAAAACCCATCTGATTCACTAATGTCCTTTAGGGAAGGAAACTGCCATCCTTACCTGGTCTGGCCTACATGTGACTCCAGACCCACAGCAATGTGGTTGACTCTGAACTGCCCTCTGGGCAATTAAGGATGTGCAATAAATGCAACGCACTCATCCCATGAATGAATAAAGGAAAGAAAATGTCTGTGACAAAGATTTTTTTGTCATTGGAAACCTCCTACGAATTAAATGCTTTTCCCTTAGATGAATGCTTGGCTTCAGTATACCATGTTATGTTCCACATACAGACTGACAATATTTTTAAAGAAAAATCCGAATGAAGCCTATGGGAAGAAAGGTAATGAATAGGATTTCACATTTTAAAATTTCTACTGTAACAAAACAACTGAAAGCAACATACTTCAAATATTAATCAGCAAGGACTCATTATTCCCACAGAAATATGGGATCACATGCAAGCTTTCAGACTCAGTTTTGTAGGATCTCTCCCTTCCCATTAAGTCAATTCGACCCTTGAATTGCATTTACCAGCAGTCATATTTGATCTGAAGTCTTTGGACATGATTAACTAACTCTGACAGCATGCGCATTTACAAACCCCATCCCACCCGGATCATGGCAGTCCTATTGGCACGGAATCCCCAGAAAGTCACTACTCAGACCCCTTTAAACCATCTGGTGGGCTCTGACGATACTGATACTGTGAGTCTTGTCCAATCTACAACCTCTTGCCATTCTGTCTTCAGCTCTCTGCTCTTTCCAAATGGCGGCAGAATATTTGGTCTTAAAGGGACATCTCACAAAAGAAAATACAGGCCTTACCAGGCATAGGGCGTTACGACAAAAGCAGCATTAAAAATGGAGACAGAAACAATTGTGTTATTGATGTTGTGACAGTGTTCTTCACCAACATTGACCTGTGTTTCAGGCTGCAGTTACTGCTTTTCATTGCACCAACACCAGTCTCGTTCTGTGACCTGCCACAAGGAGAGAAGATTGATTACATGTCTGTCCTTGCAGCCAGACAGATATCATCCACACTAGTTAATTTATTTAAGGATATGCCAACGAATCCCATCCTGACCGTTCCCTTGCCTTCGGTGGAAATCTTACTCAGAACCGGGATATAATTTTAAGTGTGCCTCAAATAACTGAAGAATGTAAAGAATAGCAGCAAGAGTAGACCATTCAGTCCCTTGTGCTTGTTCTGCTATTCAGTAAGATCATAGTGATCTTCCGTCTCAACTTCATTTTCCCTGCACTATCCCCATATCTCTTGATTTTGTTACTATTCAGAGATTTACTGATCTCACTCGTGAACATGGTCAGAGACTGAGTCTTCGCAGCACTCTGAGGTAGAGTTCGATGCAGGAATTGAGCAATTAATGCCAGCTTCGCACTGGAAGAGCTGTTGTATCAATCTGACAGCTCCCTGGCATGCTGCACATGGAATGAGAGCTAATTATGTACGACTGAGCCAATGATAAAAAAAGTTATGGCCCAAACTTCCACTCTGAAGTTAGAGCAACAACAAAAGCAGAAACAAAAACGCTTTCCGTGTCTGTGAAAAGGACCAGTACATTAAATTTTAATACTGAATAGTTACCAAATGTAACAAGAAATCTATAGAGTTTGCATAACAGATACTAAAATATGTTGTTCAGGTTGCTGTAATTTGAAGAGAATTTTGACGACCAAATGCACTTTAACCAGATCCATGCCCCAGATCAGTCTTCACACTTAAAATTTGTAAGCCTGCTAATTTGGGAGTATATTGCACACAGAACATAATAAGTAACAACAGAGGTTGTTGCTATATCTTGTACAGCATTTAGGCCACATGTGAAATTTCCTGTCTAAAAATAGGGCTGGGTCTGGGCTGTCTGGGGCTATATGCCCAGATATGCTGATGCTTTACCAGAAATCCATCAAGTCCATCCTTTCGTGTTAGTTCAGTAGATGAATGAATTCCTGGATATACTGCTGATGCTATCCAATCTTGTATCTCTGATCTAAGGACATCTTTCTTTATAAAGGTATGGCTGTCTTTATTAACAGGAGTCTTCAATCAAAGAGGTGACTGATCAATACCTTTTTTTTTGCCAGGATCAAGGAAAAGTCTTAAGTTGGTTCTTGATAACTTTAGATAGTTACCTGATCAATTGGACACTGCAGTCCCAATAAATACACATTCTACACCAAGTGAGGATTCCAGGATGCTGTCTGCGTCCTGGACAAGCATGTATAGAGGAAGTGTCAACGGGAGCCAAATTGTTGAGAAATACAGAAACAATGGAAGGGGATTCCAACAACCAAATACCAACTGGGTTAAAATCAGCATGAAAGGTGTAGAGAGCAGAGCATTGAACTGTTATTTTTCCAGTATGTAGCAATTAGAACCCAAGAAGGGGAAATTCTGAATTTGGTGTTCACATTTGAAATTGCCCTTTCCTTCAACAATTGGTGTAAGCTGTGACTTTTAATGAATAAGTCAGAGCCTTTTTTGCACGTGAACCAGCCACCATGTGCCTCTTGCAAACCATTGGAAACATTCAAAGGATGTCTAAACAAAACAGCATAGTGACCAGCACAATAACCGCAAGAATCAATTCACCAGATCTGATGAACAACGATGATTGAACTGCTTTGAGTGTTCCCTCCACCCATGTTCCTTTACTCCCGTGTGTGTGTGTGTGTGTGTGTGTGTGTCTATCTAAGTAAAGGTGGCTTTATAAGGTGATTAAAGTTTTAACTCATTATTATGTGCTGACTGTTCATAACTGGTTTACCTGCAGCCAGCATCTAATTATTTGTAACAAATAGTAATTTGTCTTGTGTACAGAAAACTAGTCTGTTTTCTGTCAACCCGGATCTAGAAGACAAGTATTTTTGGGAATTTCATGCATTTAAAAAAAAAGTTTAAATGATCCCACAAATAGCGGGGCTTGATTTCCGGTATGCTATCCCAGTGAGGCAGATAAAAAGGGAAATTGACAAAGACCAAGAGTTGACAGTGAGAAAGAGAGCTGTAGGCGGCAGGAAGATATCAGTGTACCGGTCAAGTAGGCAAAAGACTGGCAAATGGAATTCTATCTGGAGAAGTCTGAAAGAATGCTTTTATGTTGGACTAACTAAGGCAAAGAAATATGCAAAATGTAGTAGAAAACTGTTAGGTATATAGTAATCTTAGAGCATGTGTCTACAGATCAGTGAAAGTCACAGGATAGGTAAAAGTGGTTAAGAAGACCTACAGCTACTTTCCTTTAGTACCTGAATGACACAGAGTCATAGAATAGAAGAATAAGTTTATACTCGGGCTATAGACCGTACTGCATACCAGGGAGGATGCAATTATTAAAGAGTATATAGGGGATTTATGAGAATGTCTCCAAGAATTTAGAATTTTATCTGTGAGGAAAACATGGATTTAATTGAGGTATAATGAATGTTGAGGGGACCTAGATACAGTGGATGGTATGGACCTATTTCCAGTATTAGGGCAGTGAGGTCAACAACCAAGGGCATGACATTACAAAAAAAATTAGATGTACCCTTGATATGCCTTAGAGTTAAGGGCAAAGAACTGGAAAGCAGGATTTGGCTGTACAGCTCACTTCGGTTGTTACCATGATTCCTTCATGGCTATAAATTCAATATAATTATTTATTTGGTAAAAGCAGTGATCAAATGTTACTATGAAGAACTCTTTAAAATTACAATTCATACAGCCTAATGTCCAATAAAAACTTCCTAAAAGCCACATGCAGTTTTCCATTTGGCTACACTTCTTTCATCTGCCTATTTTAGTCAGCGTTATCAAGTCTGGAACTGTCATTTACAATATTCCCTCAAATGGGTGCAGCTCACTGGGTGGTGGAGTTTTCTTGTTACTGCTGAACTCAATTCCTGGAACACACTCTCACCAGAAACCCCCACCGTGTTGGATGCATTAGGAAATGAAAAACATCTTTTCATTTCTTGGGACATTGTTCCAAGATTAGCTTGGGGCACTTTGAATGAGAGGCAACTTCTTGTACTGCTAACACAGTTGATTAAAAGTCTTGTACAGCAATGTAAGAAGAGAAAAGCTTTCATACTTCACGTGTCAAAAATCAAATGTGCATAATTCTCTATATTTCAATTTGGATGAATACAAAGATAAGGGTTGGGGAAATTTTACTCTAGAATGTCTTTCCTTAACATTACTCTCCCTTTAAGATACAACCTAAAACATATTCTTAGACCAAGCTGTTGGTCATATGTCCTAGTATGCTCTCACATGGTTGTGTGTTAAATGTTATTTGGTATTGCTTCTATGAAGTACCTTGGGAGATAATTTGCACTTAGTGCGTTCTTGCAAACAAAAATTGGATAAATAACCAGTTGAGGGAAGAATCAGTCAAGACAGCAGGGAAGCACCCTTTTGATGATGGAATGTGTAACATTCCCCTGAGCAGGTTATGTGGGACCAGTGCTCCTTGTACAACAACTCAGAGGATAGGGCATTGGCTGCTGAGGAGTTGTTTCTTTCAAGATTATGCACGAAATGTATAGTGCATTCAAATGAGCAGATTGTTCACACTAAAAATTTTGTTTTAAGAGGAGAGACTAGGTGGGAGCTCATTTGAAAGTCTTTTGGTAATGCAAGATTTCTTCAGCGCTGCACTGAATTATCATCAAACTCTGAATCAGGAAGTGTGCCATAGTTTGCGTTTTTAATAAAAAATGTAATGTGAAACAGTTTAAAAAGAAATGCATGAGCTTGTGCCATAACGTGATCTGCCATAACTTCTTGAATGAATACTGTACCCAACAAAAACAGATAATGTTGGAGAAATTCAGAAGGATTGGCAGCAGCTGTAAGAAGAGAGCAGAATTAACGATTTGAGTCTGGTGACATATTCAGAAGAGTCTGCTGAAGATGAGAGACACTGGATTCGAAACGTTCACTTTGCTTTCTTCCCAAAGATGCTTCAGCTTCTCTGGCAATTTCTGTGTCTATAGGTGTGAAGCTGGAAAAGAACAACAGGGCAGACAGTATCAGAAGAGCAGGAAAATCAACATTTCGGCCCGAAACATTGCTCCTCTGATGCTGTCTAACCTGCCGTCCTTTTTTCCAGCTTCACATCTGTAGATTCTGGTTTTTGGCATCTGCAGTCCTTATTGTCTCCCAGCAATTTCTGTGTGTGTTTCAGATCTCCAGCATCCAGAGTTATTTGTTTCATGTTAGAATATCGTACACAGTTTGGCCTGACTTCAACTAACTTCACTAGGATTTTGATTCAAAGAATTAGAAAGGCTGAAATGCATTCCTCCTTCACATTGCACTGTCCAAGTTAAGTGCTGAAGTCTCTGCACCATGACCTAACCCTAACCTTCTGACTCTGAGGCAAGTTTACTACCAACTGAGCTATAGCTCATATATAGGACAAAATGTATGCTAAAGCATAACCAGTGAAATAATTCACTAAATTGATTCTTGTTTTTACTTTGAAACAACTGGTTACAGATTACAGTCTCAGATGATGGTCTGTCAGCTTCGACTGTAGATATTGGAGTCATGGTTGTTTGCTAAATTTTATGCCTTGATGTCATAGGGTCCTTTTATTGAAGATTGTTGCTGTCACTGTTGGATAATGTAGAATATCAAACGTTCATAAACAGCTTGGTGGATGGCAGGATAGGTGACTGATGAAATTCAATGTGGCGAAGTGTGAGGTGATGCATTTTGGTGGAAAGAACCGTATAAATGAAGGGAATGCATGAACTGAACGATATTTACATGTATAAGTCACTAAACGTGGCAGGACAGTTGAGAGGGAGTTAATAAAACACACTGTATCCTGGGCTTTATTCATAGGGGTGTGGAGTACAAGAGCAAGGAAATTATATTGAACATATACAAGGCAGTGGTAGCATTCCAAAAATGCTAAATGATCAAGGGGCTAAAGGGGGAAAAGAAGTAAGTACAATAACTATCACTAAAGAAAAGCACTGGGGTAACTAATAGACCTAAAGACGATAGATGCCCTGCAACTGATAAGTTGCATCCTAAGATATTCAAAAGAATAGCTACAGAGATAGTAGATGTGCTGTTAATAATCTTTGAAGAATCCGTAGACTCTGAGGAACTGCCAGAGGATGAGAACACTGACAATGAAACACCCTCATTCAAAAAGGGGATGAGACAAAAACACAGGTAACTATAGGGTATTTAACGTAACATCTGTCATTAGGAAAGTGTTAGAGTCTGTTATAAAGGATGTAATAGCAAAACGTTTAGAAATATATGACATAATCAAGCAGTATTCAGCAGGGCTTCATGAAGAGGATATCCTACTTGACAAGCCTATTACAATTATTAGAACACAGATGATGCTCAGAGGTTGTTTCCTCTGGTGGGAGAATCTAGGACTAAAGGACATTATCTCAGAGTAAGGGGTCACACACTATAAAAACCACGATGACGAATTTTGTGGTGGATGGAGGTTCAATCAAGGCATTCAAAGGGATTTGACAATGCGCTAAGTAACTGGAAGAAAGCAGGAACATGGCACTAGGTGAGATAATCATTTGGAGAGCTGGTGCAGATAAAATGGGCCAAATGGCTGCCTCCTCCCCCATCACAAGTCTGAGATGCCCCCCACCCCACTCCCTTCATAAATGCCATTGAGAAAAGACTACTTGTAGGATCCATTTTAACTTTCAGGACAAGCAGGTCATGGTAAACATGAACTATTTCCTTTTAATAATCAAGTTTATGATACCCAACAAATGCCTAGGGACTAATTTGTAAACAGTTAAACAATAACGATTTACTTTTGTCGAGAGTGGATGACCTGAGGAATGTAAATTTCAATTTGATCACCCGCAAGTGCTTGTGTTGTCATTTCTGTTGCTTGGGAACTCTGTTAGGTTAAAGAGTAAAGTGAATGACCCATTATCAAGATCTGGCGTTGTTCCATTCTCGGAGAACCAACAATATGAATGCTTACGTGGTTTGGGTGTTAAACCCAGACCACTACCTGACTTGCTTCCTAAGTATGGTAAAGAGATTTGTAGTTACAAGATTACACAGCTGAAATGCTCTGCACTTGTTACTAAGTGTTGATGCTCTCCATTATTTTTAAAAAAGAGAACATATGAAATGACGTTGGGGAAAATATATTTTCATCTGAGCTAATGCATGCAAAGACTGATGGGCGCTTGGAAATTAATGTTTGTCATTTTTTCATTGCGGTGCTGTCCCTAAGTCTAAAATGCACACTTGCAGTTATGTTTAGAAATATAATTTTTCTTGGAAAGGGAAATAGCTCCTTTCTGATTAAAAGTATGTTAAATGAGCACCATTATTTAATATAGCAAACAAAGATATCAGTTAAAACATAGGTTCAACATTGTTAATGTGAGCCATTTGTTTCTAGATGCTTTGGTAATATTGCCTCATGATGTGAATAACCCATTATACAGGTTCTGAAGATATAAAATGATAAAGGAGTTCAACATCTTGTTGAAAGTCTCAACATGGAGACGCAAAGCAGGTGACTTTGTTCAAGTGTATTAGCGCCGAGTGGCCAATATCCATTTTACATCTTTGACAATTTTCTTTTCCCTTAAACTGCAATGGAAAAGGACTGCTGATTTAGGTTATAATGGCCCAGGACTGGTTTCTATTCCAGTGGATATTCTTTACCATAATTTCTCTCACTCTCCTTTTCAGTAATATGGCCTTCCTATTGAGAAGGGTACTCACTTGTTCACACCTAATGTTCATAATTTGGAATCTAGTTTCAATGGGCTAAGGATGGATCACACCCAGATAAATTGAAGTGAAGCTTGGCAGGCAGGACTGTAACTGAACAATGAACTGCAACTGAAATGCAACTGAACCTTTAAAGAAAAGAGACTAGGTACAGTCAAGGATATTTCCATGATGGGGACACATAGGGCAAACAAATTCTCGAGCTCCCTGGTTAATAAAAAAAGGATCTTTTAAGGTGAAGAAGAAACAGCGTCCTTATTCAGATGTCACGTGCATAATGCAACTTAAAATAAAAGTAATATAAAAGATTCAGAGGAGAAGTGAAAAACAAATGAGAAGAGCAAAAAGAAAGAATGGTAAAAGGGCCAATTAAGGACTCAAAAAGAGATTTTTGCTTGGAGGCAGGGTATAGCCAAGGTATGAGATTAATACTTTGGACCTGTTTCTGCCAAAGAAGAAAATGGTGCATAGACCATGGTGGAAAGTGTAGCTCTCACTTGAAGGTTTTTGAATTGATAAGGACAACATTTTAGATTGATAGTCTGTCCTCAAAGATGGTGAGGCATCAGGACCACATGACGCATATCCAAAAATGCCAGAAGAGACAAAATTGGAAATTATGGAGGCTCTGGCTATTATTTCCCAATTTTCCTTTGACTCTGGGATGATGCCAGAGGGCTGGCGAATTGTAAATGTTACACCCTTGTTCAAGAAAGGATGTACGGTTATGTCAATGACTAAAGGCCTGTTTGTTTAGCCTCAGTGGTAGTGAGTTCCTTTTTTTAAGAAATCAGAATTCAAAGCCAGCATGGATTTGTTGAGAACAAATCATGTTTAACTGACTTGATGGAGCTCTTCTGATAAGGCCACAGAGAAGCTTGATTAAGGTAATGTTGATGCTGTCGTATCCACGGACTTTGAAAAGGCATATGATAAAGTGTCACATGGCAGATTAGTGAACAAAAGGGCCAGGAGCAACGTGGAAACAAAACTGTGTGAGTGGCAGGGAACAGTAGTGTTGAGCAATTTGTTTTTTGTTTGATTATAGTGGAATTCATTGGGATTTGGTCTTGAGACTTGAGTACTTTCTGATGTCATTAAAAAAGGTACTTCAGTCTTGGCATAAGAGGTCACAATTTCAATATTTGTGGTTGATTCGAAACTTGAAACTAATGTGGACCATGAAGATGATAGTGTACAATTTGAAAAAGACCTGGGCATGTTTTTTGGATGAATGGATAAGTGACATGAAAATTTAGCACAGAGAGATGTGAAATGAATCATTTTGGTGGGAAGAACATGAAGAGGAAAAGTATTAAATAAAAGGTACAATTTTAAAGGTGCTGCAGGAACAGAGTGACATGATTTTCTGAAGAAGGGTCTAGGCCCGAAACGTCAGCCTTCCTGCTCCTCTGATGCTGCTTGGCCTGCTGTGTTCATCCAGCTCTACACCTTGTTATCTCAGAGTGACATGGGTGTATGTTTGTGCTTAAATCATTGGAGGTTTCTGAAGGTGCATTTAATATATTATACAAAATTCTGTGCTTAATAGACAAGGCAGTGAATACGAAAGCAGGGCACTATGTCAAATCTGTATAAAGTACTGGGTCAGCTTTAACTATAATATCGAATTTGGTTTACCTGACTTAAGGAATGATGGTAAGGCATCAGCAGGGGTGCAGAAAAAGTTCACAATAATGTTTCCAGAGCTGAGCAACTTTGGTTGTGCAGAAGGACCAGACAAGTTGACACTGTTTTCTGTGGAGTACTGAAATCTGAGATGAGATTTGAAATAGGTGTTCAAATGGACAGAGTACATGTGGCAGAGCCATTCCCACTGTTGGAAGAATTGGAAACCAGAGCATACAGACTTAAGGTAATTGGTGGAAGAAGCAGTGGTGACAGGTGGAAAAACTATTTTGATGCAGCAAATGTCTAGCATCTGACAAATGTTGCCTGAGTGTGTGTTGAAGGCTGGCTCAATCGAAACATTCAAAAGGGAATTGGATTATTATCTGTAAAAGAAGAAAGTGCAGAATGATATGGGCAGAAAGCAGAAACGTAGCTCTCAGAGAATTGCTGCTTCGAGTTAATTGATTTCAGTGCCCGTGTTTAACTGAGAAATCCTCCTTTTGCTTACTGTTACTTTCTCCCATTTTTAGATGTTGCAGGATTGTCCAAAAGCCCGACGAGAAGTTGACCTGCACTGGCGAGCATCTGGCTGTACTCACATTGTCCGAATTGTAGATGTCTATGAGAATCTGTATCAGGGAAGGAAGTGCCTACTGATAGTGATGGAATGGTAAGTTCTTCTACAACTAGGTACAGAGATATTTAGTTAAGGAAAATGCAGTTTGGTAGTGAATGAGACACCAGGTAAGAAAACAAAAAGATGCAGAAGTCTGAAGTTATAAAGCAAAATCGCAGAAAGGCTCTGAATTGAATTCAAGAAAATGAATTTAGAAGCTGGTTCTGTAATTGTAACCTCCTATGTGTCTGTTGCAGTTTTTTTTGGTTGCTAGCACTTGCCTATGAAAAGGAATGGCTTTGTGAAAGGCAGCTATGTTGATTTCTAATAACTCTGCTCTGTCAAGACTCGCATCTATGTGATGAAGTTAATATTTGAGCCTTTATTCACCTTCAAGCTATTAGTTTACAGAAACAGAGATTGCATACCATGCACCCACAAGGAAAACAAAACTCCTTTTTCAGTATGCACCTTTGTCTGAGCAGCAGTGAAGCCCCAATTTAATATAACGTTGCTTCTCTATTTTTTTCCCTAGTACTAAAGGCCCCATTAATATCAATCCTATATATAAATGATTATCATTATTGAAGGTTCTAAACCAAATGCTATAACTACAAATTAAATATATTCACAATCTGTTTGGTTGACATTCAAATATTCACATGATAAGTTTCAAACTAAGTGCTCCCAACTAGAAAGTTGTGTGTGAAATTGAGATGTTTGATTCACTCTGATGTGAGGATTTGTATGCAGTCTGCTGGAGACTTACTTAATTTTGGGAAGTCTGAAGTCCTTGGGCTAGACTGTGAGCTCACCAATGGAGAAATGGTGACCTCAAAGCAAACTTTTCACCAAGACCTAATCTTTATCTAAAGTATCATTGCAAGACGGCACCTGCAATAGTGCAGCGCTCCCTCAGTGCAGCATTGGAGTGTCAATATAGATATTTGTGCTCGAGGCCTGAGGTGGATATGAGCACATAGCGTTATTACTTCTAAGCATGATTATGGCTGACATAAATGTGATTTGCAGTGTACAGAAGTGGCTATACTCTGGAGCTTCCTGAAGATTTGAAAACTGCTATGCATTTAAATGCAATTTCTTCACTTATTACTTCAGTCTTTAACTGATCAATATATTTTTACTAATAACCAGACTGCACAAGTTAAATGGATTCTTGCATCATGGAATAATACTCACAAGTCATAAATTGAATAGACTTTAATGGTTTTTCATTTCAAGAATGCTATCAATGTGGACTAATTACTAGAAAAATATTCAGATTCTACCTGTTTCATATTGCTTTCTATGGCTTGTTGGGAAGCTTGAGTCATATCTTTATCACCTCAAATCAACCAGAATGATGCTCTAGGATGAGAATTAAAAAACGCAAATGGTTATCTTTGGGTACGCTGAAAAATGAGTCAGACTTTTAGAAATCGTGCTGAAGAAATATTTATTCTAAAGAATAGAGAAAGAACTTGCATTTAAATGGCAACTTTTGCAATCTCAGGCTAACGCAAAGAACTTTGTTGCAATTAATTACTTGAAGTGTTGTCCCTGCTGTAATGTAGGAAGCATTGGAGCCAATTTGTGCGCATCAAGATTTCAGAAACTGCAATGAGATAGTAACCAGATTATCTGTTTTATTGGTGTTATTTAAGGGCTAAACTAATTAGTGTAATGCAAATCTTGTATGTTAATCTCTAAAGGGAAGACGGGGCCTCCAGTGGTAGCCTCAGACAAATGACGACATTTTTGAACGTACAGGATTTCCTATGATGTCGAAACCTAAAGAAACTGTCAACTGTGACAGTAGCTGTTACAAATAGCAACCTGATGTTGACCAAGCTACCGTTGAATCGCAATAGTTTTCTGAAGTGAACCATTACATGAATAGCTGTCTGCTACGTTTTGTCCCACGTTGGGAAGATCTAGCAGCAATAACTAGTTATGCAATAATATAATGTATTGGAGTTTAAATAACATCCATGTTTGTATTCTTGCACCAAAAATAAATTACACTTTTAGATTTATTTGAAGTGTACCATCAAGAAATATTGCGCTCATTTGCTGCTGTGTTTATCCTAATTAATATTAGAGAATACCTGTCTTCTCTCTGTGTTCATTGAGAACTTAATGCATAGCTTTAATCCAGCTATTGCTGTACTGAAAAGTAGATGGTGTATTAAAATCAATTATATTTTTAGAAAACAGATTTTGTGATTAATGTTTGAAAGGCTCATCTTCCAAATTTCCTCAGCTATATGGCTGAAGCCAGAGAATTGGTGGATTGCAAATGTTACACCCTTGTTTACAGAGGATAAACTGGGCATTACACGGTTAACGTTGCCAGTGAGGAATCTTTTTTATAAAGAATAAGTCAGGAGAAAATTACCATTTCAACAAACTTGGATTAATAAGTAAGAGCCAGCAGCGATTTGTTAAATGACAAAATATGTTTTACTGACTAGTTTGAGTTTTTGATGAAATAGTAGACAGTGAATGGAAGTTACGGAAATCATGTTGTGTGTGTCAACTTGCTGAAGGTGTTTGTTAAATTGTGACATATTCGGCTTGTTGGAAAACTTGAAGCCCATATAATAAAAGGGCATTAATAACATGGGTGTAAAATTGGCTGAAGGATAGAAAAGAAAACCTTTGTGGTGAATCAGAGTTTTTCAGACAGTAGGATGTATATAGTGCAGATTTCCAAATTTCAATTCTCGATTTGCATTTAAGTGTACAGGACACGATCCTGAGATTTGTAGATGACAAAAAGCTTGCAATTGTAGAAAAGAATGAAGAAGACAGCAGATTCCAAGAGGATGCAGTGCAAAGGTCAAGCACGTGACAGATGAAACGCAACATGGAGAAGAGTGAGGGGATACTTTTTGACTAACAAAATGAACCATTCCATGCTAAATGCTGCAAATTTAAAGCGGGTGCAAGAAGAGAGAAAGCCGGCTTTGTTTCTGTGTAAATCTTTTAAGGTGGCAGTTTACCACAGCAGCTAATAATGCGTGTGCGTTCCTTGGCTTCATGACTTAAGAAATACATATTTATGAGAATGGGAAATTAAACTGTTTGGACCCTACTAGGTTGAAGAAGAATTTATCATGTGATTTCTTAGAGAGAGTCAAGAGCTGATGAGAATTCCAGATTTTTTTTTTGCTGTTCACTGGAAAAGCAAGTTTGGAAAAGGAAACAACAAAAAGCTTTTTGAAAGAGATGAGATTGCTTCGAGAGTCTTAATGGCTTCCATCACATAGCAACACCTCCTCTAAATTTTTGGTTTCTATTTTGGTATGTATTTGGGTATTGTTGGCAATTGAAAGAGCACTGGCAGGGAAATCATTCTCTGTCTCCCTCTTGTGCACTCTCGCCTCTCTCCCCTTGCTATTTCCCCTTTTGTTCCCCTCCATCTCATGTGAAAAATAAGTTTGTTTTAAATTAATGAAATATTTTGAGTTTATTGAGAAACCTGGTGAAGGTTTTTTTTTTGTTTTAGACCCCAGTGGTAAGTTGAAACAAACTGATCATCTTTGGTGATTACATCAGACTACTGTCACAGTTTATTGAGTAGTCAGACTTGATTTTCAACATGTTCCTCCCATCAGAGTTGTACCAATAAAGAGGCTAGAGTATTGGAGCAGGGAAGTTGTATTACGCTGATATATCACACGCTACTGCAATATTATTTCTGATTCTGGGTCATGGATTTTAGGAAGGACCTGAAAATGTAGATGAGGGTATAGAAGAGATTTTCTGAGAATACTTTCAAGGTTGAGGAATTCCAGTTTCTTGGATGGGAGTGGGAAAGTGAGGCTGTTGTGCTTTATGGCAGAGAAGGCTAAGAGGGTGTTGAATATGGGTGTTTGTAATCATGAAGGGTTAGATAGAGTCAATTAAGGGAAACTGTTTCCAATGGATGAAGTGTTAAACAGAAGGCACAAACTTAAGATTATTGACAGAAGAACAGAAAAAAAATGTGGAAAAATGTTTTAATGCAACAAACGATTTAGGATTTAAACGCACTACCAGGATGGATATAGATTCAGGATATCAGAGGATTATCAGCACTGAAACAGACAATACAAACAGTCCATGCCAGCATTTATTCTTCACTTGAACCTCCTTCTGCTTTTCCCGATCTAAATCTATCACTGTTACCCTCCATTTCCTTCTCTCTCAAGGTTTCCTTTTAAATGTTTAAATACTATTTGCTCCAAGCACTTTGTGTAGGAGCTCTCATGACTCTTTGGATATAGAATCTCCAACTGAATTTCATGTTGGATGTCCTGATGATTATCTTACATTGACAGCTTCTCGTTATGCTCTTCCCACAAGAGGGATCCTTTTATATTTGTATGTGCCATCTCAAAGACCCCTATTACATCACCCCTTCAGCCCTTTTTCCAAGAGTAAAGAGAGTCAGCCTGTCCACCTTTCCTGATACATGTACACATTTTGCTATCATCCTTGTAAATCTTCTCTGTATCATCTCCTGTGCCTCTCAGTTTTGCTTTTATAATGTGCCAACCAGAACTGGATGCAGTATTCTGTGGTATAATCAACATTTGATAGAGATGTACTGAAGGCTGAGCAGGAAAAAACAGTCAGGGGATATTGGAGGTAAAAGTGAGAGATGTTTATAGTTTATTTGTAGGATTTGAATATCACTGACAGTATTGCTCATCTCCAGTCCTCTTGAAGGTGGTGATGGTGAGCTGCATCCTTGAACCCCTATAATTCATCAGGTGTCGGTGCACTCCCAGTGCTGTTGGATTTTGACCCAGCGACAATGAGCCAGCAACGATATAGTTCCAAGAGGTGTGGATTGGAGGGGACCATTTCAGGAGGTGGCATTTACAGTGCTGTCAAAGGAACCCTTATCAGTTATTGCAGTGCATCTTGTAGATGGTACACTGTCAGTGGTAGAGGGAATGATAATTTGAGGTGGCCAAAGGGGTACCAATCAAGTGGGCTGCTTTTTTCCTGGATGCTGTCAAGCTGCTCGAGTATTGCTGGAGTAAAACCCATTCAGTTTGAGCGCTTATCTTAAATATTCAGCACTCTGTTGGAACAGATATAAACAATGGGTGCAGAGTTAGCGTACTCTGCTCTACCTCAAAGTGCCAATGTGATATTTTCCATCCTTTGAACTCTATTTGTAATATATGAAATGAATGCAGAAATGTTTCCTTAACGTCATGTCATTTCTTGAATGTTACCATCAGTTGATGTTAACAATGCATTTCCCAGCACCAACCATGAGTTCATGCATGTGGCACACTCAGTGAATCACACCTTTGGTTGAAATGCATCTGGTGCAGGCATCATTAACCTCAAAAAGCTGGTACAACTCTATTTGCTTTTGTGTAATCAATTCAACATTGATTGTAATGTATAATGGTAGCGGTTGCACACGAGGTGTAATATAATGAAAGGACAAATTTACTATACAATTAGGGATCATTGCATGCTTCGTGGCTAAGTATCAGAATGCATTGGCTGCCTTACAGAACTGAAGACAAAGATGAAAGATGCACAAGTTGGTGAGTACAAGAAATCAGTATGCAAGCTGCACTTCAAACATTCAAACCATATTAGAAGTCAACTGTTGGACTGTATCTCAAGTATCCTTGTATGTAATTGTAGTTACATTTAGTTTATATTAATTTATGTATCTGGCTATAGAATTGCACAGAATGTCTCCTGTATGTGTTTGCTGTGTGTTCCACTGATTTTATCTCAGTAGGTTCTCTAGTTTCCTATGAAGGTTTGGCAGGCAATTAGGAAAAATCCTCTTTGGAAGTTTTGGAGTTTTATTTTCAAAGGATGATGCTGAAATTATCAGGATAAATTGATCTTTCCTGGGTTTCTTGTTGGAGGAAAGAGATGACTGATGGACAATCTGATTAGGAGTCCTTAAGATCATGACAGCTCTCAACAGGCTTGGTGTACTTGAGATGTTTCCATTTGTGAGGCAGACCAAAATGAAGAGCCATAACTAGAAGATGGCCACAAATAAATCCAACAGTGAATTCAGTAGAAACATCTTCACTGAGGAATTGATTAGAATATGGAACATGCTACTTCGCGGAGAAATTGAAGCAAGTAGCTTGGATGTGATGGATGGGAAACTGGGTAAATACATGAGAGGGAAGAGAATAGAAGGTCATGCCAAGTGGGTTTGGTCACGTCAAGTGGGAGGAGGCTTGTGTAAGGTTCAAATATGGAGATGGACCAGTTGGGCTAAATGACTTGTTTCTATATTGTGCAGGTGACATAATTCTACTTGTGATGGTTTGTCTAGGTAGATCCTTTTCTTTGGGTTGTGAACTTGGAAACATTGATTGCATTTGCTCTATTTGTAAATCTCTCATTCTCAGATTCTGCAGAGGCTAGTGGTGTAACAGGAATTAGGATAAGATGGGTATACTCATCATTTTTGAGGTACAGTTTATTTTTATTCAAGTTAAGACTTGGGTTGGAATAGAACAATAAGAATATGAGCTATTTGCTGATGCCATTTCAGAGAAGACAGTGAGACAGTAATGTTCTTTGTATACCTTTGCAAGCCAAGCAAATACTTACAAACAGTCAGCATTTATATGGTGAGAAGGAATGAGTAATCTGCCCTTATCTAGAGTATTCTCTCTTGTGGCTTTTCAGCAGAAAGACTAGTGCAAGATGGAACACCTGTACCTGCCAGTATACATGAAATGATGCAGTTAAGTACTGAACTTGTTGTTTGACGCAATCTTCTCTTGTTTACTTATCACCTTTTTACTAGCTTTTGGTAAGCGGAGTCAAAGCTGTTTGCTGGAAAGTAAAGTTTACATTGAAAATGTACTTGTGCTTGTACTTATACTATCTCTCTTCATGCTGCAAGAGCAGTGCCCGACACTACAGACATTAAGTAAAAGAACTAAATGACAATTTGAAATAGACAAACAATTATTTACTTAATTAATTAGTATGAGGGATATATGTAACTAAATTTGAACAATCAGTATTTTCAGCCAGTCTGTTGTTTTTTTCCCTACATATCCTTCTTTGTTCTTTTTGTCCTTATTTGCTTCCTTCCCACTTGCCTATGCTTTCCAGAAACTTGCTCTCAAATTTCTTTCTGCGCATGCTCTCAATTGTCCACACAAAAACAGAATATGTTGGAAAAGCTCAGCAGATCTGGCAGCACCTGTGGAGAGAAATCAAAGTTAACGTTTCAGGTCAAGTGACCCTTCCTCAGAACTGTCAACTGATGTTGACTGTTTGTTTCAGACTGCAACTGGTCACTTTGCTCCTCCAAGCACTCTGCTTTCATGAATTTTTTTATCGAGGAAAGTTGATTTCTCGACAGGATTTCTTATTGTTTACTAACTAGATCATTTCCTAACACACCACCTCCAATAATAAGCAGCTCTGAGTTCAAGAAACTATCCTCTGATTCGAGAATTCTTCCCATTTCCTGAGGTTGTTTAGCAGCTGCGAGGCCAAATCAGAGATGGAAGGTGGAAAGCTGGCTTTTCCTTATGATTCAAATTTGGTCAAAATATTATTTTATACTTTCAAAGATTAAATTTCTACATTTTACATTTGGCCTTTATTTCAGAAATGTGAAAATAAGCCTCAGAATAGTTACAGTGTAGAAGGAGGCCATTCATCTGTTGGCTTCGCATGGGAGTACTTTACCTCATTCTACTCCCTCACCACCTCCCAATAACCCTGCACATCCTATCTTTTCAGATGATAATCTAATTTCTTCTTGCATGCCTCAGTTGAAACTGCGCCAAACCATTTTCTCAGGGAGTGCATTCAAGATCCACTTGCTGTGTGAGTACTTTTCCTCGTGCTGTCATTGATCCTTTAGCTAGTTATCTGAAATAATTCTGTACCTGCTTCTGTCAAAGATACAAAGAACAGTACAGCACAAGAACAAGCCCTTTGGCCCACCAAGACTGTGCCGACACATGATGTCTTTCTAAACTAAAAGCTGTTTGCCTCAACGTAGTCTGTATCTCCTTATTCCCTGCCTATTCACGTATCTGTCAAGATGCTCATAGAGTCATGCCAGTTCATACAGACCGTAATCCCAAACTAAACTACTCCCACCTGCCTACACTTGGTCCAAATTGCTCCAAACATTTCTTAATCATGTACTTATTCAAATCTCTTTTAAACATTGTAACTATACCCGCCTCCACCACTTCTTCTGGAAGTTCATTCTACACACAAACCACTCATTGTAAAAGAATTTCCCCTCATGTCTTTTTAAAATCTTTCTCCTCTCACCTTAAAAATATGCTCCCTAGTCTTGAAATCCCACACCCCGTGGAAAAGACACCTGCCATTCACCTTATCCATACCTCTCTTGATTTTATAAACCTCCATAAGGTGATCCCTCCACCTCCTATGCTCCAATGAAAAAAGTCCCAGCCTGTGTGAAGTAAACTTCAAAGAATTATGTAGCTGATCCCAGAGGTCTCTCTGTCCCACAATACAACTTAAGGCCCTGCTTTTAATTGTATAAATCCTGCCCTTGTTTGTTTTACCAAAATGCAATACCTCACATTTATCCAAATTAAGCTCAGTTTGCCACTCCTCAGCCTATTGACTCAATTGATCAAGATCTGTTTGTACTCTTAAATAACCTTCCTTACTGTCCACTATACCACCAATTTTGGTGTCATCCATGAATTTACCAACGATGCCTTCTATATTCTCAACTAAATCATTTATATAAATGACAAGCAAAAGTGGACCTGGCACTGATCCTTGTAGAACACCACTGATCACAGGCTTCCAGTCCGAAAACAACCCTCCACTGCTACCCTCTGTCTCCTACCGTAAAGCTAATTTTATATCCAATTGGCAAGCTCACCCTGAATATCATGTGATCCTACTTTGATAACATTCTCCATGGTAAAAGAATTAGTTAAGTCTTTACTGAAGTACAAGTAAACAATGTCTATTGTTCTGTCCTCATCAATCTTCTTGGTTACTTCCTCAAAAAACATAATCAAGTTTGTGAGATGTGATTTCACTCCCACAATGCTGACTATCCTTAAACATTCCTTGCCTCTACAAATGCATATAAATCCTATCTTTCAGAATCGCCTCCAACAACGTCCCCACCACAGATGTCAGACTCTCAGGTCTATTGTTCCTAGGCTTCTCCACACATCCCTTCTTAAACAAAGGTATAACATTAGCCACTCTCCAGTCATTCAGCACCTCACCCATAGTTATAGACGATATAATATTTCTGAAAGAGTCTTCGTAATTTCCTTCCTAATTCCCCGGAACATCCTCGGATACACTAGATCAGTTCCTGGAGATTTATCCATCTTTTATGTTTTCTAACACCTTCAGCATTCCATCTTCTATAATATGAACTGTTTACAAAACATCAATATTTATTTCCTTGAGTTCTCTAACCTCCATTTCTTTTTCTCCTGTAAAAACTGACGTGAAATATTAATTTAATATCACTCCCATCTCCTGAGATCCAACACAAAGATGACCTGAGATAGTGGGAACTGCCGATGCTGGAGAATCTGAGATAACACGGTGTAGAGCTGGATGATCTTTAAGAGGCTCTACTCCCTCCCGTTGCTCTCTTGCTCATAATATACTTGTATAATCTTTTTGGATTATCCTTAACCTTATTTGCCAAGGCTATGTCATATCCTCTCTTTGCCCTCCTGATCTCCCTCTTAATAATGCACCTACACTATTTATACTGTTCAAGAGATTCATTTGAACCCAGTTGTCTATATCTAATGTACAATTTTTTTAATTCTTGACTGGAACCTCAATATGTTTATTCATCCATTGTTCACTAATCCTACCAGCCTTATCTTTCACTCTAATAGGAACATAATGCCTCTGAGACATTCTTAAACATTGCTATTTTATGCCTGTCCATCACCACCTCTGGCAGCCCATTCCAGGCAATTACCACTGTAATTGTTGCTTTCTTTATGACTCAGGAGAGAGTTGATCTGAGGTATTCAGAAATCTGAACAAATGCAGAGAAACTTGGCAGGGGAAGAAGGGTCAGTATTTTGAGGACACAAATTTTATAGGAGATGGAATTGAACTAGCACAAGTATGAGGTAGATTGTTAACATTGCAATAAAATGGTAAGAAAAAGATGTACACTCTTTGTTTAAAACTTGAGAACACACGTACTTATGGATTCTCTGTAAAAGTTATTGTAAGTAGTCGATACAGTGCAGAGCTGGAGGAATACAGCAGATCAGGCAGCATCAGAGGAGCAGGAAAGTCGATGTTTTGGTCCGGGACCCTTCATAGCTAGTGCCCTAGATTTTAGGGGTTTTGTTACAATCTGTTTAGCAATGTGATGCAGTTTTTTTTTGTTGTTTGCAGTTATGTAACACAGTTTTCACCTTCCAAATCCATCAGCCAATACCTTCAGCACTATTATTAAGGAGCTACAGAATATTTTTAATATTCCTCAAGGTTGAATGAATTGTATTTTAATTCCCCATCCTGGTTAATTGAACAATAAAGCATTTTAGTCCCTTTTTGGTCCACTTAAGTTACAGAATAAAAGTACAAATCATGCTTATTGGCTACATTGACGGCTTTGTAATGTTGAGGTTATTTCTGCAAATATAGTAAAATAAAATTACCATTCTTCAGATTATTGAATTAGTTATAATGGTTTGTAACTATTTAAGATGTTTAAGCTAATGACCATATCTCATAGAGGCAATAAGTCAAATAAAGTAGAGCACATATGAGATTGTGGTATCGTTTACAAGAACTGTTGGTACAAAAAGTGCAGAGAGCACTTACAAGAAAGTGATTCTATCACTTAGAATGAAGCAACACCAATTAAAATCTATGTAGTTAGCCAGTATTGGAAAGGTTAATGAAATGCCAAGAGACCAAAGTAGAATTGAACCATGCTTTATTTGAAGTTGGGCCACAATACTTAGTGATTAAGCACTCGCTTCTATTACTGAGCAGCCTCTAAGCTAGTGAAATGTCCGTAATATTACAGGAAGTGGTCTAACCACTTGAATAACTTACTTCGTTAACACCATTGACAGAACCAAAAATGGAACTGGTTAAGTAGATGCTGCACACATGCAATAAGAACGGCGAGAAAATTTAAGCAAGCGTCATGGTTAAGGAGTAAATGTGTTTTGGGGCAAATGGTTTCATCCTGTCTTAGAAAATTATGTCATAAAATAATTGTGGGGGAAAGAATACCTTACAGTCAGTAATTAAATTTGGTTTATTTTAATATCTATTATAGGTAGAAGGTCTGTACAATCATGGGAGTTTTTGGATGGCAAAAGTGTCCAGCCTACATGTTTTACATTTGACAACATTAGTTTGGTAGGTCCAGTGGGTGGAGTCCTGCAAACTAAAGTAATCAAGGATAGTATGTGTGAATATTCTCCTCTCCACTTCTCACCACTCTTCACAAGTTAGTAAGAGAAATCGGGGAGGGGTGGGAGTTGGGTGTGGAGATAAGAGGAAAGCAACGGAAGTTTATGTATTTTATCCATTTTCATAATGAGACACTTCAGAAAATCAAATACAATTACGGTCATCTGGTGATTTTTTTTTTGAAAAATGAACAGTTGTAGGTGTGTGTGGCTGCATTATATTAATGTAATACAAAAGACCCATGATTTGTCACCATCCATCATGTGTGGTGTTTTTTTTTGTTCGATTTCCTACGCAACCCATGTTTATCAGAAGTATGATTCCATTTGTTTTACTCAATTGTATTACTGGTAATCAATTGAGTGAAACAGACGCTTCTAAATAAATGACAAGTTTCCTCAAGGTACCACAGTAGGGTAGAATGTTGAGGTCCTTTTGATGGTTTGTTCAAAATGTTGGTTCAAATATGAAGATGATTAAGAAAGCAACAAGCAGCCAACTTTTCTACCTTGGGAACCCATGCTAAATAATCTGGAAATCATTGTGAAATGTTCACTGAAATCAACAACAAAGCTGCTTTCTTTGACTCTCCCTTACACAATGCTAATGCTGATCATGAACTCACTCTCATCAAATTTGGTCAACTGCATAAACATGATGGTCGCCTTTAACTAGTCATGATACAAGCAAAGCCATCTGCTCCTGAGAAAGTGAGAATCTCTAACAGTTGAATTGCCATCCTTCCTGGCTTTCCACTTTCTAGAACTGCGCTGCCATTTTTTTTAGTTGCAAGATATTGACTTCTGTTTGTTTTGGTGCTCTCTGCAAGTTAAACAGTTGGGACTCAATAACTTCTTTGTGCCTTTCATCAGATATATTGTGCTCTACTCCCCCTCCCAGGGTTACCAGTCCTATAAAAAGAGCTTCTTTATCTTCTTGTCATTCAGATAGGGTAACAGAATGAGTGAATAGAAGTCGTGACGGAAGCATGTTGCCAATTCAAGTTGCTTTGTTCCATCCACTAACATTTAAGTCACTTAATGTGTTCAAGCTCTCCTCATTCTCTTGACATTTCTTGACAACTTGAATCCAATAAGTGTCAATCATGGTCTGCAAATGATAGTTCATGCCCAATCCAGTTTTGCTTTTCATAGACACCCAGACGAAATCACAATGTAGACCTGTATTAAGATTGGTTAAAGCAATATACAGCAGTAGAAATCTGATGTGAAAGGATAAGAAATGTGTCCTTCTATAGAACACTCTATAGAATTGAGAATGCAGCAGTATGGAGTAGGTGCATGAAAATTAGAAAATAAAAGATCAGATTCCAGCATTGGCAGTTCTTGCTATCTCCGAATTAACCCTTTACATTTCACTAATCTGGAAGTTAAGCTGAATTGTTATCTTGAACCAGACTTCTCTCAAATTAACAAGCAAGAAGAAGACAACATTTGCACAAGGGAATTTATGATGGACATATCAATGTCTATAGTCTATAGTCAATGTCTATATGTCTATAGGTTTGATTGGAAGTATGACAACCACACTTAGGATAAAATAGATCTATTTTTGTCTGACAAGTCAGCAAATCTTAAACCTTCTCAAAGTTGACATTAATTAGGAAATGCGAGTGTGTACTTTGGCTGAATAATTTAACTATTTGATTTGTATTTAAAAATGAATACAACTGTCTTGCGTTTAAGTAGTTTTGTAAACTCTGCCATTAGAGTCATACAGGTTTGCAGCATGGAAGCAGGCCTTTTAGCCCAACCTGTCCATGCTGTCCAGTTTTCACAATTAATCTAGTTCCATTTGCCTATGTTTGGTCCGTATCTCTCCATACATATTCTATCCGTTTACCTGTCCAAATATCTCTTAAATGACAAAGTTGTACTCTTCTTCTCCACCACTACCTCTGGCAGCCCACTCCAGACACACTCAACCCGCTGTGTGAAAAGATTGCCCCTCTGGATGCTTTTGTACTTCTCCCCCTCGTTATTCTTCCCAAGGCTAATATTATTCGTAATATCTCCCAGATGTTCAGAGGTCTGTCCTCAAATAGCTCAGGGTAATGTGGATGCCAAATTCATCACGTTGATAATTTGAATGAATTTTAGCAAGTAATTTGCCAAAATAAATGGCTAATAAAAGGTAGAGTTTTGCAGTTTAGGTGTGGATCCTGATATCAATCCTAACCTCACACTGTGACGGGGGCAGTTTGCCTGAATTGTCTGGTATCTGGGCAGAGCATGTCCACAGTCCAATTGGTTATTGTGGGCAGGATCTTGAAGCTTATGGACCAACATTAGGTTCTCCAGCAAAGAAGGAGCTGCAGCCTGATGTGGTAAGCAAGGAAGAAAGAAGGTGCCCCCCCTCCACTATAAAGTAGCCATTTGACGTTTAAAATGGCCTCCGTCGACAGGTTACCATTGTAGAGACGAAACCCTTTCTCATGACGAGCTGTGACTGAAGCTGTAGCCATATAGGCAAGGTGGTGAGGGGTGGCTTCAAAGGATCCTGGAAAGCTGAGCCCTGGTCTGTCCCTGGAAGCCCCCTCCAGAAAGCGTTGGCACTTCTGAAGCACCCTTAACCTAGCCTTGAAGCAATGGGCAATTCCAGTTGACCTCTGATATTTGCCCTTTAAATTATTTTACTAAATTTTGCAGCTTAGTAGCATTTCTTCCTCCTGAAAAATAG